GCCTCCTCCCCCTCGCTCTCTGTTTCCTCCCTTGCCCTTGCCTCTGCTCCTGAACCCCTGACAATGTGCTTTCCCTGTCTTTCTCTGAAGTGAAATCAAGTGGCTTCAAACACAATAAGCTATTAAGTTAAAAGCACATTTTAAAACAAACAAACAAATAAACAAGAAGCACATTATTATTTTAGAAAAATCATACAAAGAGTCTGTCTTAACAACATTTTCTCTGAGACCTCCAGATGACTTGAGAACCCCTTCCTGAGGGCAGCTGTTCCACAAGTCCTGCCCCACTGTGGATAAGGCTGGTGGCCATGGGCCCAGAGGGCTTTAAGGAGGAATGAGACACACTCTGTCTGCCCCACACATAGAAGACTGGTCTACCAACAGCTAGACTGCCTCACCCCACAGGGGCCCACTCAACCGTTTTGACTGGAGGAATCAGTGCTGCTGCAGGTGCCCCATAATACCCCTTCAGTCTGGTGACCCCGGCACCTTGGAACTCCCTGCCTACTGAGATCAGTTTATTGTTTCAGCTTATTGTTATTTCAGCTTTTTGAAGATCTTAAATTATGGTTGCTCTTATTGATTAATTTTGTTGTTTTATCCTTTTTGTAGAGTGGGTTGGGTTTTTTTAATAATCAAACTGTGTATACATTTTATGAAATACATAAAATGGAGAAGGCAACAGCAGGAGAAGATTATTGCTAACATACTTTGTGGGCTTCCTAGAGGCGTCTGTTCAAACACTTTGAAGGGCATTTACAGCAGAAACTGCTTGGAAATGCACATTGAAGGCTCTTCCTCAGCATCTGATGGGAAGTGAGAGACAACACCTTGGAAATGCACATCCACACAGTTGCAATAGAAACTGCATGGAAATGCACTTCAAAATGCTGATGAGCACTGAGAGACATTGCTTTTGAACTGCATTTCCAAATAGTTTCTATCGCAACAGGCTTGGAAATGCACCTCAGAATGAACATGCCACTGTATGCCACATATCAGGGCATGGTTTTGGGGAAATGGCCTCACATGCCAAATGAGGACTCTTGTCAGCTGGATTCCCCCCCCCCTGCACTGCAGAGAGTACACAGGCCTCATGGCTAGATCCTCTTGTGAGGATATCTATTAATGATACCCCACAATCATAAGATTAAGTGAGATGCCTTCCAAATGGAGCTTAACAGCTTGTTAGATGTTACATTTGTGGAGTTGTGTTTATTTTCACAATTTAATGATATTATTACTCTCAAGGAGTTCATGGGTTTCCAATATTAGCGGTACCACTGAAAAAATACACCATTCATTCAGAACCCCCAAATCCTCAAAGGGAAGGATTTTGAGGATATGTACTGGGAAAGGTATCAAATAGTTCAGGACAGTGTGGTGTAGTGGTTAAGAGCGGTAGTCTCATAATCTGGTGAACCGGGTTCGCGTCTCCGCTCCTCCACATGCAGCTGCTGGGTGACCTTGCGGTAGTCACACATCTCTGAAGTCTCTCAGCCCCACTCACCTCACAGAGGGTTTGTTGTGGGGGATGAAGGGAAAGGAGATTGTTAGCCACTTTGAGACTCCTTCGGGTAGTGATAAAGCGGGATATCAAATCCAAACTCCTCCTCCTCCTCCTCTTCTTCTCCTCTCTTTTCTGGCTGGTATCTGAAGGGTTTGGCCAACTTTTGGAAGGGGACTATCAAATATTCAGGGTGGAATAAGCTGATCTGAGTCTATCTGAACACTGTGCACTAGGACCAGGCCATTGCCCTCATTTCCTTTGGAAAGCAGCAACACCATATAAAACCTCAGGTTCTTAGGGGAAATCTTGTAGCCTCCTGAACTGGAACAGGTCTCTGATAAGTTTGCTTGAAAAATCCACAGGCCAAACAGACCTGGGAATTCTCCAAGAAAGGCTTCCTGTCTTGCTTCCTGTTTCCTAAATCTGAGCAATCCATTAGTATAAAAGTATACCAGCCTAAATGAGTTCTAATAGCATTCTTAGCATCATTTGTGAAAACGCTTAGAGAAGGCATTAAGAAGTAAAAACACATTACCTTGGTGCCAGTAGTTGGTACAAGTCCCACGGCTGCCATGTATGTGCTGCCAATCGTCTTGATTTTTTCAATGTCCTTATAATATTCTTTGTCCATAAGCTTTGTTTAAAACATAAAACTGTTAAACATTACATAATATTTTAGGCAAGAAAGAAGATTTTTGTGCAGGCATATTCCTCTTATCATTTCCAAGCCTTTGTGCTATCTCACATTTACAACCAATTTCCTAAGGACTTAAGTGAGCTCAAAATGAGACACTTGGTCATTTTCAATATACCTGATAGGATTTTCAAAAATCCTGATGTGATTTGCTATAGGCCTAAATTGTAAGAATTTGTTATTTTTTACTGCACAATTAATCTTACCAACTTTTGCTTTACCAGCTTGCTACAAGGAAGCCAGGGGGATGTAGAAACAGTTTAATAACTGCAGCAAAGAATATCTGTCCTGCCATGCTGTATAAACCCAAATTCCTCCTTACCAGAGTGTTGTAGTGGTGTTTCTGCCTGGCTGGATCCTGCACTATGCTGGGAGATACCAATTTGCACTAAGAGGGAGGAACACTTTGGCAGGCGGATAAAAGATTACAGCTTGAGTACAGCCAAAGCAGTGTTCTGGACAGTATGGAATAAAAAATGGTACATGGTGTGATCTCTCTCTGACGTGGTCAGCTACTGAATCACTGGGGAGGCTTGGCTGGAGGAACGGGTCCCCAGTGGGTAAGGGGGATCAACGGATGTCCCTTCAATCAGAAGCTAAGATGATAGTCAATGTTTGGCCTAATTATGAATAATTTTCTGTATTCATAAAACTAGGAACATTTCACTTTTTGCCTGGATCACTTGGTAATGCCAACGCAATTAGAATGAAATGCAAACTGTGAGATAATTTTAAGAGTGTGACCTTCTCAACATGATGATGAGCTTACAAAAATATTCCTGAAAAGGCAGACTGAATGAAAGAATGCTTACCTCATCAAAATCTGCAATAATTTCATTTAAGAGGCGTAAACATTCAACTCCCATGTTATTGCCATCCAGTTCAATGTAAAAATCGTTGAAATTTGGGATGGAAGCAAACATCACTCCCACTTGTGAATAGGACTGGTAATATAGGTCCTGAAATTTTCAAATTATATTTTCTGTTATAGCAAGCTAATACTTGGATCCAGCCTGAATAAGCACTTAGTTTCCAATGAATTTAATTTAATCATAATAACTTTTCACATCTATTTCAATGGGACCAGTGTAACTAAATTAGACTGGATCAGGTAAGGTAAAAGGTAAAGGACCTCTGGATGGTTAAGTCCAGTCAAAGGTGACTATGGGGTGCGATGCTCATCTCGCTTTCAAGCCAAGGGAGCCAGGGTTTGTTCACAGACAGCTTTCTGGGTCATATGGCCAGCAGGACTAAACCGCTACTGGTGCACGGAGCACTGTGACGGAAACCAGAGCACATGGAAATGCCATTTACATTCCTGCCTCAGAGGTACCTATTTATCAACTTGCACTGGTATGCTTTCAAACAGCTAGGTTGGCAGAAGCTGGGACAGAGCAAGGGAAGCTCACCCTGTTTACCTTTATCTTTAGACTGGAAGAAGTCCAATTCAAGACAATATTGTCAGCAACAACTTTAAGGTTGTTGTGAAAAAAAGGATGTTGAAAGACTTTGAGCCAGGGTGCTCAAATTACTGAGGGGAACAGGCTTGCCCCTATTGATTCTGTTCTCACCCTTCCTCTGTCCCCTAATGCACAAGGGGGTCAGAGTAGACTCCTTTGAAGAATGAAGGTGCATGCAAGGCCTCCTTTGTGGCTCTTTGTAACTTTAAGACATTGACCATATACTGACATTTTCCTCTGGAGATCATGGGGTTGTATCCTTCATCCCAGGGTATGGTCTGAAAACTAAGCAACTCTGGCAATGGTCAGTGGCCCAGATGGCTGACTGCCTGGGAATCATATGTATACTGTTTTAGGTTCCATGATGGAAGAAAGGCAGGATATAAATTGAATATAAATTGAAGGAAATAAATTGCCCATCACTAAATTTTATAATTAATTATTAAATGTGTATCCTGCTCCTCCTCCCATTGGAGGAGGTACAAAGAGCCAAGGCAGCAAATGATTTGTATAATCAACAAGCAAATACTGTATATTTAAATACATTGTGTATGTTCTGACTTGCTTTAATCGGGGTGGAATATTATTCTTTCATGACTACAACAACCAACATCCGACATGAGATTGGGATCTTCACAAAGCCACGTTTTAAGTATTATTATTCAGCACATCTATAAGCTGATTTTCCTCCAAAGAGGGGAGGGTGGTAAATCCCACTTTATATTGTCTTTACGACTGTGAAGTTGGCTAGCTAGGCTGAGACATGATGATTTGCCCAGACCATGCTGTGAGCTTCATGGCAGAGCAGATGTGAACCCAGCTCTCCTCATTCCAAGATCAACTCTAGACAGACTACAGGTATACTGGCTTTCTCACAAAAAATGCAGCTTAGACTCTGAGTTTTACTGCAGATTTAAAAAAGGTTTAATAATGTCAACAGCACTGACAGATAGGTAGTTTGGGGCTGCAATTTGAAGAGCTGGTCATCACTTTTAAAGCATTGAACAGTTTGTGACCAGGAAACCTCAAGGGATGTCTCAAATAGGATTCTACTCATCCACTGAAGTAATCAGACGCCTCATGTGTGTCTCCGCATGGCTGGTGGGAACAGCATCAGGGCCTTCTCTGTGTGTCACCCAGTAACCCTGCCTTCGGATATCCATGCCATGCATCCACCCATCTTTGTTGTGCGTCTTACCCTGTTTCAGTATGCTTTGGGCATAGTTCCTGTATGATTCCTCTTTATTTCCCCAGGAATTTATCTGCAGTTTTCCCTTTGCTGTTATTAATATGTTTTAAAAGTTTAATTTTGATCTGATTTGTGCTTTCAATCTATTGTGGTTTGTTGCAGGAAACAACCCTGAAAACTCATATTCCTTACCATGTTCCTTGGATTAGACATGAGAAAATGCTGTGCAACATGTGCTGGCAAAAGATTGAAGAGAATTCTTTTGTTATCCAGTTTCACTCTTTCCATATCATCTCTCTCTTCTTCTGCCTATGAAAATAAAATGTGATTTAAATAATAAAAACTGCAGTCCTGAACACACTTGGTAGAGAGGAAATACCACTGGAGAGAGTGATCTGGGTCACACAACTTGCTAAGTCAAATGATAGGTTACTGGGACCCTGTAAATTTGTCAGCTCCCAAGCGAGGAGTGAGATGCTGCTCCGCTTCTCTCCAGCTTTTTCTTTTCCCATGCTGTGCTAAGCCAAGGCCCAAACCAGTGCTCACCGTAATGCTCTTTCTTCACTAACCACAAGAATTAATCAACCAAATGGAAGAAAGACTTGTGCAAAATAAACCTGTTGTGGTGGAACAAAAAATTCTGGGTGAATGTGCAAAGGGATGTTGGAATAGATTTGGGTATGTTCCTAAATCTTTATTCTTCATAAATCAAACTGTAAGAATATAAGAAGAATCAGAATCATATAAGAAGGCCAATGGCTCATCTAGTCTGGCATGCTGTTCTCATAGTGACTGGCCTGTGGGAAACCAGTCACTTGTTTGATTCTCCTGCAACTGGAACAGTGGACCAGAAGGTTGGTGGTTGGTGGTTCACAGTGGTCTCCAGGGACGACTGTGGGGAGCATTCCTGCATTGCAGGGGGTTGGACTAGAATGGTCCTCAGGTCCCTTCAAATTCTACAATTCCATGATTCTGATTCTATTTGGTGCAAGTCTTTCTTCCATTTTGTTGGCACTGAAATACACACAGAAGAGGAGTAGAGACTTCAAGATCCTCTCCTCTCTGGGAGCCCACCTGGGAATACGAAAACAGGTCTGTTACTGCTAGTCCATGAGCACATGTGTGAAATTAAGATTTTATTGCCCTGGCAAACATCGCTGCAATACACTTGTTCACATTAAATTGACTAGGAGTCTTGGTTCTGATGGTGTTTCCTGCTTGGCAGGGGGTTGGACTCGATGGCCCTTGTGGTCTCTTCCAACTCTATGATTCTATGATTCTATGACCACAAACTTGACATGAGCCAACAGTGTGACGCGGCAGCTAAAAAAGCCAATGCAATTCTGGGCTGCATCAATAGGAGTATAGCATCTAGATCAAGGGAAGTAATAGTGCCACTGTATTCTGCTCTGGTCAGACCTCACCTGGAGTACTGTGTCCAGTTCTGGGCACCACAGTTCAAGAAGGACACTGACAAACTGGAACGTGTCCAGAGGAGGGCAACCAAAATGGTCAAAGGTCTGGAAACGATGCCTTATGAGGAACAGCTAAGGGAGCTGGGCATGTTTAGCCTGGAGAAGAGGAGGTTAAGGGGTGATATGATAGCCATGTTGAAATATATAAAAGGATGTCATATGGAGGAGGGAGAAAGGTTGTTTTCTGCTGCTCCAGAGAAGCGGACACGGAGCAATGGATCCAAACTACAAGAAAGAAGATTCCACCTAAACATTAGGAAGAACTTCCTGACAGTAAGAGCTGTTTGACAGTGGAATTTGCTGCCAAGGAGTGTGGTGGAGTCTCCTTCTTTGGAGGTCTTTAAGCAGAGGCTTGACAACCATATGTCAGGAGTGCTCTGATGGTGTTTCCTGCTTGGCAGGGGGTTGGACTCGATGGCCCTTGTGGTCTATTCCAACTCTATGATTCTATGACTTTGGCATTTGACTTCCCATTCACTTAGTTTGGAGAGATCCTTTTGGAACTCTTCACAATATCTTTTTAAGAAGGCTTCCATGTTTCCCTGAATCTCACTTCACCATCACTGGCTTCCCAACTGGGCAGCAGAAAGGAGAGTAGCCATGAGCTGTGGCAGAAACCACTTCCCCATATTATGTTAGTTGATCCCTTGCTTTCAATCCTATCGCTGCATCCCATCATCCCAAGCCCTGCATAGGGCACTATCCAACAAACATCTTCCTCCTCCCATTTTCCTGTAACTTTTTGGTTGTGGGAAAAAACAATTTTACAAAAGGACCACATTCTACTTTACAAAGTCATCATTTAAAATAGAATGACACGGCTGTTGTTTTAACTGCAAAGCTACATTGCTTAGCATATTGTGCCAAACTTTTTCAACACTTCAGCATTTTACAAACTAGAAATGAAGATCCCTTAAATATTCATTTCTGCCCTCATCATTTACTTTTGAAATAAGCTTTCAGTTCTTGCTGTAATTTAGACAGGAGGTCTCAGGCAGAATCAAAAGGTGCACCACAGGGTTAGATGAATAAGAATGTTGTTTATTTGTATTCTAGGCTAAGGCCTTTGTCTTCCATCTCATAGATGTTCTTGACACTTTGTTTGTTTATAGTTTGCTCTCATTCTTCCTGCTCAGTTTCCAGAGATGCAAATGTTACTTTCGCCTTCCTTTATGGGGGGGCGGGGAGCATTATTGGAGGTAATGTGAAATGTTTTTTTTTTATTTTAAAAAATTAAATACAAAATCCAGATGCTCAGCAGCAAAAGTGAAACCTCACTTGGCAGGCTGCCAAAAGCTGACTCCTGCGCTAGGGAAGTGTGGCATTCACATCTCACAGGCTGTGGGATCAGATACAAGAAAGAGGACCCACTCTCAATCTGAAAATATGAATATTCTGGTTTTTGAAAACCAGTACTTCTTTTTAAAAATACATCCTTGAATTTTTATTGATTAGTGCTGCCTTTCATTTTGTGATTTTTGGTGGTGGGGGAGAGGAAGGCTGGACCCCCAGCTTCAAGCGGTGCCTTCTCTGAGATCTCCAAGAAGGCTGCAAAATGCGCCTGCTGGCACCGCTTGAAGCTGGGGGTCCAGCCTTCCTCTCCCCCACCACCAAAAATCACAAAATGAAGGGCAGCACCATGTTCCTCTCTTATGGTGATTTGTGGGGAGGATCCTAGGCACCCACCCAGCCTCTGGTACTTAAAAATCTGCTGCCAGGATCCAATAACTGCTTTGCTTCATTAAAGGGAGGCAGTAGCATCTTTACAATCACCTAAGGCTTATTTGCATATTCAGCAATGAAAGTGTGTCATTCTGAGTAAATGGGCAAAACCAACTATGTTGAATAGGATTGGAAACAAAGGATCAAGAATAAAAGTGGTCACTCGCAGGTGAGCAAAAACCAGCACAGTTACTGTTTGGAAATGACACAAAGTGCGAGTGCAGGACTTGACAAAGCAGAAGAAACCTAATCAAAACAAATCCCCTCTTGACAGCCTGGAGGGCAACTGACTAGGCCTGTGGGGAAGAAAGGAGCAGCGGGAGGCCCGGCTGGAGCTGAGGCTGCTGGCAGAGGTCAGGCTCTCAAATGGCGGGAGCGAGAGGGAAAGGAAGGCAAAGCAAAGCTACCTGGGAAGATAACTTGGGGCTGGCATGCAACTACTCACGCAGGTACAGTCTATGTTTATTGCCACATTTCCACACCCATTCTTGCTAAATTAAGTGGTTTTTATAGCCTTGTATACAATAAGAGGCAACAGAAAAGAGGAGCTTGACATTGTGCTTTAGAAAGGCGAAAAGTTTCCTTGCCTGCATAGCCCAGAGGTAGTCGAGACGTAGCTTCAAATCCACCTGCCTGGAATGAAGTGCCAAAGCACAGGAAAACAGCAAGATGGCCAAGATGGGTTCATAGCCACGAATATAAAAAGAGCCACCCCTTTAGAAAGAAAGAAAATGTGCACATAAGCTTTCCTTTTCTTTTACAAAAAGACCAATGTCATTTTCAAAAAGTGCTTGAAAACAACGAACCTCCATGAAATCCTTTGTACACTACAAGTCTTGAATCCCAACCATCTTAGAGGGAGGAAGCAGTGGCAGCCGCCATCAAAGAAGGCAATGGCTGGTCTTTCTAGATTTGTGGAGAAGGGAGCAGGAGTCTCCTCACTTCTCACAAGTGCGTCTGCCTCTCTCCTGATTCCTCTACTGTCATCTTTCGCTTATGCTAGGTTGAAATGCAGGATGAAGGAAATGAGGAGCTGCACTGAAGTCTTTTACTTCAACAATAATCCCAGTTTATAGCAGTGCTGGAGGCAGATACCAGACACACAAAACCATTATTAAGACTATCTAAAGAGTGTCATCAGTATAAAGGTGCTTTGCATAGTTAATACATGAAACAGAGAGCTGCTTTGCACCAACGACCTTACAACCCTAATTTAGACAGAGCATGGGGAGAGGAGAGGCAGTTTGCATTGACGTGAACTTTGTTTTGGTTATGAATGAGGACTATGCACTTAAAGGCTAGTTTAGGCCTGTACTTCAACATCTCCCACATACATTAGAATCTCTACTTTGCACTGAAGGTGTGGGGGCAAAATATGAAAACAACAAAACTCTTCCTTAATTATGCAATGAACTTACCCCACTGCTTTTCTGTATCCGCTGAGTTCCAAAATGACTATGTACAAAATTGTAACAAAAAGCAGGAGGATCATTTTTGGCAAGGAAGATACGCGTAGAAATATTGCCAGGGTCAGAGTCCCCACAACGCAGGAGAGAAATGCATAATGGGCTGCATCGCACGGAAGTTCACTCATTGTCTTATTTGTCCCACTCAAAGAAATGATAACTATGGAGCTGCTGGAATTAGTACTCCAAACCCAAGGCATACATCCAACCTAAGGGAGAAACGGAGTTGAGAGCTGAATGAAAAGTTTCAACGGTGAATGTTCACACAAACACACATGTCCTCCATTTGATGACAAGAGCATTAGGGGTGAATCTAGAAGTGATGCTAAATGTGTCATTTGCTATCAAGTCTTTTTAAAAAACAGGTAAATTTCTATACCACCTTTCATCTGAGGATCACAAGGCAGTTTACAATATAAAAACACAAAAATACATAACATGGTAGCAGACAAAAATAAAAGTTTTTATGGACAGTTTAAAAGTCCATAGATTGTTTAATTAGCCAAATGCCTGGGAGAAGAGGAATGTTTTCACCTAAACATATGTAGCAAAGAAGCCAGATGAGCCTCCCTGGGGAAAGCATTCCACAAATGGGGAGCAATTGCAGAAAAGGCCCATTCTCATGTTGCTGCACTCCGGACCCCAGAAGGGCCTCAGAGGATGACCACATCCTGTTTATTTCTTTAATGGAGGACATTCACACCGTTGGATGAAAATCAAGAAGGATTTAATTAATAGATTACAGTCATTTGTGAAGCAGAACATTTGGAACAAGATCCTCCAAGTTCCTCCATTGCTTTTATAAAACTATGAGCCCTTCAATTCACAAACAAATTTGGGAAATGTAGTGACTGGCTGCACAGGATTATGAACTGCACTCCACCACAAAGGTGAGATGTATCCGTGTTTCAGACTTCCAGGTGCCACCAGAATGGCAGATGGAGCATGAGCCTGTTCTCTCTGACAGGCTTGATCTCCACTAGGGCATATTGTTGTTGTTTAGTCGTTTAGTCGTGTCCGACTCTTCGTGACCCCCTGGACCAGAGCACGTCAGGCACTCCTGCCTGCCTCCTGCAGTTTGGTCAAACTCATGCTGGTAGCTTCGAGAACACTGTCCAACCATCTCGTCCTCTGTTGTCCCCTTCTCCTTGCGCCCTCCATCTTTCCCAACATCAGGGTCTTTTCCAGGGAGTCTTCTCTTCTCATGAGGTGGCCAAAGTATTGGAGCCTCAGCTTCAGGATCTGTCCTTCCAGTGAGCACTCAGGGCTGATTTCCTTAAGAATGGATAGGTTTGATCTTCTTGCAGTCCATGGGACTCTCAAGAGTCTCCTCCAGCACCATAATTCAAAAGCATCAATTCTTCGGCGATCAGCCTTCTTTATGGTCCAGCTCTCACTTCCATACATCACTACTGGGAAAACCATGGCTTTAACTATACGGACCTTTGTTGGCAAGGTGATGTCTCTGCTTTTTAAGATGCTGTCTAGGTTTGTCATTGCTTTTCTCCCAAGAAGCAGGCGTCTTTTAATTTTGTGGCTGCTGTCACCATCTGCAGTGATCATGGAGCCCAAGATCATGGGAATAGGGAAGCCCAAAGGTGATTAGATGATCACCAGAGCTAGCTGGCTAAATTAGTTCTATTTAGGCCAGCGAGGAGACCAGGGGAGAATTACCTGTGGGATCCCAGAGCAAGTAATCTTCATAAAAAGGGGATGGGGAGGAAGGAAGGGGAATAAAAGATCAGGCTAAGTTCAAATTAAAGGCCAGGCAGAATAGCTCTGTCTTACAGGCCCTGTGGAAGGAAGTTCAATCCTGCAGGGCCCTGGTCTCCTGGGACAGAGCATTCCACCAGTTTGGAGCCATCACTGAGAAGGCCCTGGCTCTGGTGGAGGATAGTCTGACTTCCTTAGGGCCCAGGACCTCTAAACTATGATTATTCATGGACCTTAAGGTCCTCTGCGGGGCAGACCAGGAGTGAACCTCTGTTCTATGTTTGTGAAGCAACCAAACAAAAAAACCCTTCCATCATTTCAGTGATCACTTGTAATACCCACCATAGAGGCAGAATCCCCAGTATTTATGACTCAAGGTCAGTAACATGCAGCAAAATAGACTGATTGATTGATTGATTGATTGGTTGGTTCGTTGATTGAATTGATTGATATACCACCCTTCATCATAAGATCACAGGGCAGTGCCCACAATAAAATGCAGGATAATGTGGAGACGTTTGACTGTGCTGCTTCAGGCTACAGAGTTGCATGCTTATGTGCTTCCCATGAAATAAGCTCCTTATGTACAGAAAAACAGCAAGTCAGGATGAAAGCCTGGCATCATGCTAGTTTTCTACTTGTAGGGAATCTTCTTCCATGGTGAAGCATTCAAAAGCTTGCAGTGCGCACTTCCATGTGAAATGACACAGTCCGGGGAAAACATTACAACCAGATTTTGCTGCATATATAAACTGATTCTTAGCAGCAAAAGCCAAAGTGAGAAATAAAATGTAGAATGATTTAGCTTTCTTGGACTTAGAAGAATATAGGTTTTCAGTTTCAAAAAGACACATCAATTATAGCCAGCTGTTTATATGATAAGGCAATTATATATGAGGGGGTTAGCATGCTAATGGAAATGATCTCAATGACTTAAATCAGAGCAAACTGAGGGGATGGCAGGTCTCTCCATGAATTAGACAACCATTCCTATACACTCACCACACAGCCTTGTGCCACTGAATAAATTAATATTACAATAAAAACACATAAAATTGTTCGAATTTGTATTGTCAGGCACCCTGGAAAACACTGAAAGACAAAAACAATAGTCTCTGTTAATTTAAAAACAAGGTAGGTATGTTATTTATAAAATAGTAAAAAACAACAAAAATGAAACTCATGTCTTACATTTCATTTGGCGCAATAAAATTTGTTTGTTGTGCATTCACAAAGATATATCTTCACATTGAAGCAAGCTAATTCTTATTTCAGCAGACTCCTATTCATAATAAGTTCGACAGGCTAAGCATTAGCAATTCATTCTCCCACTTGGAAAAGGAGTCTGGGGGAAAGCCTCATGACTGTGATTAAAAAACAAACCAACTAACTTAAGTCTGCAGTAAAACTGTAAAGGGTGAATGCAAGAATGTTGGGAAGGGGAGTTTAAAGGGGGGAGGGGAGGGGGAGCAGGGAAGGTGGTGTCAGTGGGGAAAAGTAAGTGCGGGTGGAGGTTGCCTGCATGTGTGCATGCATGCATGGGGCTGGGATGAAGAGGGACTGCAGTTGTGGCTTTGCCCACCCAATCTTGCTGCCAAAGATGGCTCCACCTTGCCATAAAAGGGATGCCACATTTCTCCAAAGCAGAAGGAGGCTCCAGAGGCAACCTTGATAGCAGGTAAGGGGAACCTTTGGCTTTCCAGATGTTGCTGAACTACAACTCTCATCAGACCGAGCAAGCATGGCCAATGATCAGGGATGATGGGAGTTGTAGTTCAGCAACATTGGGCTAGCCAAAGGTTCCCCTGACCTGCTATCAAGGTTGCCTCTGGAGCCTCCTTCTGCTTTGGAGAAATGTGAAACATTACTTATATAAGCCTTGCACTGTGTTAGGTGCTGTACACTAATAAAATTAAACAGATTCCTGCCTGACGGAGATATGACATGATGCAATGCTTAGTAAGTCTCTTGCGAGGATCAAGAGGCCATGGCATTTGAGATCACTTACTTGTACTCGGGTGACATGCAGGTACATGATACATGCCACCAGGAAGCATATGCAGAACACCAGAAGGACAAGCACGATGGTACTCCTAGGAGGAACACGCAGAAGCCGAGTCATTGAACATACAGAAAACCACCACCTCCTCACTGGAACTTGGCAGATGGATTCTGGTTAACTATCAAGCATTTTCCCTTCTTGTGCAAGCAAGAGACACAGGCTAGGTACACCCTAGGGGATTAATGTGCATGTGGCTCATTCTTTCTGTGTGTGCCTTTTCCCACCTTCATCCACAGAAAAGTGCTTTAAATTATATGACTCTGAAATCAATCTGCCCATGTTACCTGTCCATGTGGGTGGTGCTTGGTGAGATGCATTTATATTGTATGTTGTCTCCTCCTTTAATACTCCCTGACCCCCATAAATTGTGTCAATCTGAGATAGGTTTTTCTCCCTCCCACGTAATACTACAACCAGGGACCATCCAATGAAGACAGACAAAAGAAAGTAATTCTTCATTAATCACAAAGTGAAACTATGGGATTCACTAGTGCGGGATGCCGTGGGGGCCACCGATAGAGATAGCTTGTGGGGCAAGACGATCCATCGCTCCTAGTCTTGGTGGATCTGGGTTACTGGGTGGGGGAGGGGGATCCAGTTCTGAACCTGCTCTCTTGATTGGGGGGTGGGGTAGAATGTAAGAAATAAAGTTTTCTAATGAATCCAATGTTTGCCCAAGACACTCCGATTTCATTTAAAAAAATTACTTGGCATTTAATTTAAAACACTGAGAAAGCACTTACTGTGGGATTATTAAAAGGTAGACAAGGCCAAATAAGGCAGCTAGAATCAATGACAAGACGACAGCACTGGTGAAATATTCATCCTGAAGCTGGTGATACTGTGAATGAGGTGGGGGAAAAGAGGCATAAATACAATTATTGACCCATATCCATCACACCTCCTGGTTCTAAAGACAGAAATACAAGCATGCACAGCAGTAATCTGTAAGTGTGCTTGCCAGATTTGCCCCTGATGACCACATCATTTCTTTCTGAGTTTTCAAAGTCAGTGTATGGTCAGGAAAAGTAGCCAGAGTGCTTGCAAATCCAGCATGAGCTTCCTCCCCACCTCCCTTCAAAATTTGGAGCTGGGGAGGAAGTGTACTGACCAAACACTGCTAGAGTGGTGGGTCTGGCCCTCCTTCCCCAGCTCAGAAATGGAACCGGGAAAGATTGGAGGGGCCTCATCCTGAGACTTGGAGGTATTAGAACCAGTCTTTTTTTCAGCCTCAGCATAGTTCCATCATCTCTCAGGTGGGTGCCATTGCAGGAAAGCACTCCCTCACCTGCGTCTTGCCTTTACGTACTTCTGAGATCCCCAAAACGAACATTTCCAAGTCAAAATGGAAACTGGCCAGTGTGTGAAAGTCCACACTTTTTATAAGATTGATGACTCCACCTAGTTCCTAGCTGCTCCTAGCCACGACTGGCCAATCTACAGGGCGGCACCAATTCATATTTCCTTTTCTTCAACCCTTCTCCCATGTAGTGGTGGTGGGCTTTAAGCTTTCCAGGCAGGCCTCTACCATTGCACACATGTGCGTTTGCGCAAGGGCCCTACTGTGCTGAATCAAAGAGAACGAGGGAGGAGGGGGCACCCCAAAACCAGCTGCTCTAGCACAAGGCACTCATTTATTTACAAAACACTTTTCTATTTTTTAAAAAAGTACAAAGCTTTATACAATACTAAAAATAAAACCGACCTGAACACAAGGGGGGGGAAGCATCACTACATAGTAGGAAAAAAGCAAAAAACAACCAATAGAATCCAGGTAACCTGCAGGAAGAGGAGCTCCTTCTGATTTTCAGTGTTTGAAAGGAACAAATTATGCATTTAGACATAATGGGATACTTGGGTTTCTTCCTTTGTGCAAGCTGTACACTTCGTCCCTTTGCATGCGAATGAGGAGGGAAGAGGACTTGGGCCAATATATTGACAAAGGCTCCATGAAAATGGAAGCCAATACTTCATTAAAAATATAGGAAAATGAAACCTTAAATGGGAAAAAAAGCAAGCAAGCAAGCGGTAGTTTCTCTTTTTATTTGACTGATAAACTTAGTAAAAGCCTCACTTACTTTTTGCTCGCGCTCAATCTGTTTGTACCTCAGGGTGAAAAAATGTAGGTCTGCCATCTCCGACTCAGTTTGCCGGGCCTCTATTAAACGGCCAATGTATCGATTCACTCGAGTTCCAGGAGTGTTGTACACAACATTTGTAGAAAAAGAGGAACGGTTCCTGAGTTTTTCTGATGCTGTCCTCAATGCCCTCCTCTGTGGCAAAACCGGAAAACAGCAGGGTAAGCTTTTTTTATATAAAAAAAGTTTTCACGGAAGATTTCTTGTACATATTACAAAATAACCAAATAAACAAGGAAAAGTGCATACAGCCTCTCCATTTTCAGTTCCCAGAGTCATTTTCACAGTTTGTTTACATTTGGTGTAAAACACTCTTGTCATAGGCAGTGTGTGGATGGAAAAAGAGAGGGCGAAGGAGAATGATATTTCATTCTATTGTGTGGTGTTTGTGCAGGGTTTTTGTGTCAGCGCTACATAAGTAGGTCCTCTCTCTCTCCCTCTCTCTTGAGAGAGAGGTTGGTTGTGTGTGGTTGGTTGCAGTGTAGTTTGTTTGTTAGCATGTGGGGAGGGGGGTGTTGGGTCAGAGTAGCCATACTGATTCGTATGCTTTTGGGGGGTAGGATTGCCATACATCTGGGAATTCCTGGACATGTCCTATTTTGGGGTCCTAAATGCCCATCTGGGAGGAGGGGGGATTTTACATGTTAAAGCAAATGTCCTGGATTTTGGGTTAAATTTGGGGGGGGGGATGGCTCTGGTACAGGCTCGGGCTCAGCAGCGGCAGAGGTCTATCAGGCGATTGCCAACAACTTTTTTGTGTCTGTATTTTTATCTCTTGAAATATGGCAACCCTAGGTTTTTTAGGGGGTAGGGGGAGGTCATTGTCTTGTTGTGCTATATATGTGAGAATGAAAAGCCACACCCTGGTGAAGACATCCATCCTTCTTTCCTTGTCCTCATGCTATTTTAAATTTGTTGGTTAACGTTTCTGGTAGGACAGTTTTCTTCTTCTTCTTCTTCTTCTTCTTCTTCTTCTTCTTCTTCTTCTTCTTCTTCTTCTTCAACAATTTAGTATTTATATCCCACCCATCTGGCTGGGTTTCCCCAGCCACTCTGGGCGGCTCCCAACAGAATATTAAAAACACAATAAAAGATCAAACATTAAAAACTTCTCTAAACAGGGCTGATTTCAGATGTCTTCTAAAAGTCAGATAGCTGTTTATGGCATGCGCCACTACCAAGGCGGCCCTCTACCTGGTTCCCTGTAACCTAACTTCTCACAGTGAGAGAACCACCAGAAGGCGCTCAGTGCTGAACCTCAGTGTCTGGGCTGAATAATGGGGGTGGAGATGCTCCTTCAGGTATACTGGGCCAAGGCCATTTAGGGCTTTAAAGCTCAGCACTAACACTTTGAATTGTGCTTGGAAAAGTACTAGGAGTCAATGTAGGTCTTTAAGGACCAGTGTTATATGGTCTCGGTGGCCACTCCCAGTCACCAGTCTAGCTGCCTAATTCTGGATTAGTTGTAGTTTCCAGGTCACCTTCAAAGGTAGCCCCACGTAGAGCACATTGCAGTAGTCCAAGCAGGAGATAACTAAAGCATGCACCACTCTGGTGAGACAGTCTATGGGTAGGTAGGTTCTCAGCTGGTGTGCCAGATGGAGCTGGTAGACAGCTGCCCTGGACACAGAATTGACCTGCACCTCCATGGACAGCTGTGAGTCCAAAATGACTCCCAGGCTGCGCACCTGATCCTCCAGGGGCATAGTTGCCCCATTCAGGACCAGGGAGTCCCCCACAACCACCAGCCCCCTGCTCCCCCAAAACAGTACTTCTGTCTTGTCAGGATTCAACCTCAATCTGTTAGCTGCCCTCCATCCTCCAACCACCTCCAGACACTCACACAGGATCTTCACCGCCTTTACTGGTTCTGATTTAAAAGAGAGGTAGAGCTGGGTATCATCCGCATACTGATGAACACCCAGCCCAAACCCCCTGATGATCTCTCCCAGCGGCTTCATATAGATGTTACAAAGCATGGAGAGGACGAAACCCTGAGAGAGACGAAACAAGTGAGAGCCCAGGGGTCTGAACACTCATCCCCCCCCTACTTTCTGGACATGGCCCAGGAGGAAGGAGCGGAAACACTGTATAACAGTGCCCAAAGCTCCCAGCTCCCCTAGACAGTCCAGAAGGATGTCATGGTCAAGGGTATCAGAGTCCGCTGAGAGATCCAACAGAACTAGAAAACTAGCCCTAGCTAGCAGAACTAGGAAACTAGTCCCTAGCCCGCAGGAAATCATCAACCAGCACGACCAGGGCAGTTTCACTCTCATGATTGGAAGGGATCTAGATGGTCTGCATCCTATAGACATGCCTAGAGTTGTTCAGCAACCACCCGCTCAATCACCATGCCCAAGAATGGAAGTTGGCCATATTGGCCAGGTCCAAATATGTTTTTTAAAGAAGTGGTTTAATAACCGCCTCTTTCAGTGGGTCTGGGAAGGCTCCCTCATGGAGGGAAGCATTCACCACCCCGCGAAGCCCATCACCCACCCCTTCCCGGCTAGCTTTTATAAGCCAGGATGGGCAAGGATCAAGGAGACAGGTGGTTGGTTTCACTCGTCCAAGCAGCCTCTCCACATCCTCGGGGGTAACAGATTGGAATTGATCCCACACAACAGGACAGGACTCTAGCACTCTCCCACCCCGGCCCTGCTCCCATGGTGGAGTCTACCTCTTTCCGAAGCTGAGAAAATTAATCTGCAAAAAACTTTGCAAAATCATTGCAGGAGATCTAGGGGTCCTTACGGGGCCCCAATGGCAAAGGTGGTTCCATTAAATTATGAACCACCTGAAAGAGTCTCCTGCTGCTGTTGCACATGCAATAGAGGCGGTGAAGAAGGTCCTCTTTGCCGTCCCCATCACCACTTGGTAGGCTCAACGTTGAACTCTATCCCGTGTCCGGTCAGATTCAGAATGAGTTATCCACCACCGGCACTCTAACTGTCTCAGCGATTGTTTCATTGCCCTCAGATCTGGGGGAAACCACAGGGCTGTCTGGGCTCCATGCAATTGGAGAGGGCGCTTCAGAGCCAAATAGTCAATAGGTAAAGGTAAAGGTACCCCTGCCCGTACGGGCCAGTCTTGACAGACTCTGGGGTTGTGCGCCCATCTCACTCAAGAGGCCGGGGGCCAGCGCTGTCCGCAGACACTTCCGGGTCACGTGGCCAGCGTGACAAAGCTGCATCTGGTGAGCCAGCACCAGCGCCGCACACGGAAACGCCGTTTACCTTCCCGCCAGTAAGCGGTCCCTATTTATCTACTTGCACCTGGGGGTGCTTTCGAACTGCTAGGTTGGCATGTGCTGGGACCGAGCAGCGGGAGCGCACCCCGCCGCGGGGATTCGAACCACCAACATTTCGATCGGCAAGCCCTAGGCGCTGAGGCTTTTACCCACAGCGCCACCCGCGTCCCATAGTCAATAGCCCTGGTTAACTCCACATTCCAGTGGGCCACCAGGGAATCAGCTGAAAGGCCATGAACATGGGATAAAATATCCCCTACCACTCTCTGGAAACCATTTGGATCCATTTCCATTAAGTGGTGGTGGTGGACCATCCAAATAGGTCCCACCTCCCTGCAGAGGGGAAGGGTTGCAGAGAAGTCTAGTTGCACCAAGAAGTGATCTGACTATGGCACTTTTTTGTTTCACTTTTACTTAGTGTCAGATCACCCACATCCATAGAGGTGAACACCAGGTCCAAGGCATGTCCATGGCTATGAGTTGGGCCAGACTTATTCAGGGACAGCCCCATGGAGGCCATGCTTTCTACAAAGTCCCGGGCGGCCCCTTGTAAGGTTGTGTCGGCATGGATGTTAAAATCCCCTAGGACAACCAAACTAGGTGTCTCCAGGAGAACATCCACCACGACCTGAAGCAGCTTGGCCAGGGAATCCTTGGTGCAGCGGGGAGGTCGGTACACCAAAAGGAATCCTGTACTGCCCCTATTGCCCATCTTCCAGAAAACTGGGTCTTCCCAATAGGACGCCTGGTGTAAGCTAATGACCCCTAAAAAACACTGCAACCCCCCCTCCCTGCCCATATGACCTGGGTTGCTGTGTGTACAAGAAACCTGGTGGACAAACAGCAGTAAGAATAGGCCCATCTGCTTCATCCAACCAAGTTTCTGTTATACATGATAGGTCAAGTCCTCCATCCATGATCAAGTTGTGGATGGCAGTGGTCTTAGTAATCACTGACCTGGCATTGCACAGCAGCACCTTCAGGTCATGTGGGTTTCCCTTGCTGATTCCAGTATCCTTCTGGTCAAGACCAGACCCAGAGACAGGGATAGTCTTCAAACAACGACTAAACCTGCCTCCTCGGGAATGACATCATCTGGTCTTAGTGCAACTCTTCCTCCTACCCGTGATCACTGAGACTGGGTGTCCCAGTGCATCCCCCCTCCCCCGTGGAACCTGCCCCAGACATTCTGTTGCTGGGGCCCACTCACCTCCTCTTGAGAACAGAATGCAATCTATACAATAAAACAATAGAAACTAATTAAAAAACAAAAATAATTTACAACTATACTAAACTTGCCCCAACTAAACGTTCACCCTACCCCCAACAAACAAAAACAAACAAAAAAAACACAAATTCAAAATGCCACAGATTAAAAACTATTTAATAGCATTTAAAAGCATTTTTGACATTTGCCCCAGTTTGTTCCAGTCAGTCTGGGCTCTTCAGAACCCAGGGCAATGTCTCTCTGGCCTCCCAGGAGCCTCTGAAGTAGAGCTGGGTGAGTCTGGTCTCTGCCCCCTAGGCCAGGTGGAAAGGGCCTTGCAGGGAGCGGCCTTCAAAACCCACAGCCATACCTTTTGGTACCAGCAAGGTACATTCTAAACTTATCCATTAATCACCTTAAACAATGTATTCGAACATACAGCACATACATTTTATCCTAGCAGCAAAAAGACACAATTCTGCTGGCTTCTCAGATACCTGAACAACATACGGACTGACAAAATGCTCTGAGGAGTGGTGGTGTGTCATGGGAGCGACTTTTTATTAATGAACCTGAGACCAACAATGCACCCTGAAATATACTCAGAGTCGCAAAGTGATTTCATGCTCTTTATTCAGCTCATAGTGGTGAGGAGGAATGAATGAAAGTCCCCTCAAAGTA